AGTTGTATAAAATTGCTGAGAATTTTAATGGGATTTTTAAAGGGTGGAAATGAGTTAAATAAATGATTATTGGGGCTAGAGTAAATTTGCCTTTAATGAAGAACTGCTCTCAAGTACCATCCGGGCACTGGAAGTACAAGGAACAAGAACACAAAAGAGAGAGGATGACTGATAGGGAAAGTCTTCCAAAAGGTGGAGGGAGAGTCAAAACTTAAGGGGCAGAAGAAGGAACTAAGGTTGGAGAAAGAAAAAGGGATTGGAAAGGAATTTAGAACACTTAAAAAATATTTCACTTTATAGGGAAAGAGGAAGAGTTACAGATTCAGATGGGTCTTCTGACCCTAGCCTCAACAACTAAACTAAGCCTAAACTTTCAAGTAGTGTCCATGTTTGGTTATACAGGTGCACCTCACTCAAAAGCAAACTAGTACAATATTTTGCTAGGGACTCAGCAAGCCCCTGAGGGGAGGCCCATCCGCCCTTGCTGCTCCCGCAGGCACAACTGCTCATACCAAACCTGCGGCGGAGCTGGGTTCCAGCAGGCAACCAGAAACTTCCAGCGCTCCGGGTATCACTTTCACACCTGGTAACTGGGCGAACCCTGCCAAAAGAGGTCAGGCCCCTCCGTGGTCTTGTCGGGAGGATGACCCTGACATTCCGACCCCTGCAAATCTCCCAATGCCGGGGCGGGGCTGGGCAGGACCCCCGCAGCAAAACGGAACGCCCATCCCGGGTCGCGCGCAAGGAGCCCCTCCCGGGAACGCGCTCCCAGGGACGCCGCTACCCCGGACACCGCCGCGCCGCCCCTACACCGCGCGGCGGTCGCCCGCTTCGCCTCGCCCAGACCCACAGCGCGCCCCTCCTCGCGCTAGGAGATTCCAGAGGGTCCCGCGGTGACAGCAGTGCCCGCTCACCTGCCAGGCCGTCCTCACCTAACAGCAGCCGCTCAGACGCGCCGCCACTCGCGCCGCCCCGCCTCCCTGGACCTTCCCACAAGGCCCCGCGGGCCCTCGCCCCGCCCCTGGGGCCTGGCCGGAGCGTGCGCAGAAGTCAGGTCCGCGACCTGACGCCAGGGGGCAGACCGGTTGGGGATTGATGGTACGTAAAAGTGAAGTCTGGCCTTTTGCGTCCTTCCAGTGTGACTGAACTAAACACGAGAGAATCTCCAAACTGCAGAGTCATCCTGACCTAATCCAATCCCAAAACAATAAAGCCTTAAACATTTCCTTGGACCTCCCTCAATTGTAGCCCTGGTATTTGCCTTGCTTTTGTCTAACGTTATGTCATGACAATCGTGAGAAAGTTACTGTCTCTATACCGTGAACGGACCTACGTAAACTGGTAACCCTAGCAGCATCCTGGGGTTTGCGTTTTCCTCTAAGCTGTGTGTCAGCATCCTCTATGATGTGTGTCAGTATTAAGGTCTGTCTTTATGCTCTGGCTAAGAAGAAATATGAAGCTTTTAACACTTTTCGCTTCTGCTTCCTTTGTGAATAAAGCCATTTTTCACTGCCATGCTAACTCTAGAGTTGTAAAATAAATCAAAAATAATTTTTGGAAGTCCACACAAACAAGCCAGTGCCCCGGCGTCTGTGATCCCAGCTACTTGGGAGGCTGAGGCAGGACGATTGCAAATTGGAGACCAGCCTGGGGAAAATTAGTGAAACCCTGCTTCAAAATAGGAAAAGTTGAGGATGAAGCTCAGGTAGAACGCTTGCCTAAGGTGTTCCAGACCCTAGATTCAACGCCTACTATGGAGGGAAAGGGCAGGATTAGAAGGCCACAAAAAAGTCACAATCAAAACAAACTTTCAAATTGAATCAGCTCTCTGATCTCAAACATTATCCCCAAGATTCAGATCAGTGATTCTCAAGCTTTATTAAACATTGTAATCACTTAGGGACCGACAGATGGATGGATGGATGGGTGGATGAATACATAGATAGACCAACCCACCAACATATATAGATATCCCCCCCCACCTCTCTCTCTCACACACACACACACACACCACAATACATTGATGAATTCTATCCCAGAGGTTTTGATTTAATTAGTCTGGAATGTACCCTTAGCATCACAGATTTTTAAAGCATGGCATATTGCTGTGCCATTTAGGCTAAGAAACATTAACCCAGGACCTGGTCAATAAAAAAACCTCCTTAGGGTCCTCCCTCACAAGGTCACCTGTTTCATGTTGTTTAATTGTTGGATATCTTTGTATTTAAAAGTTTTAGTAGTCAGATCATTAAATGAATTACCAAAATATTTACTAATGGAATGATTTTGTTGTGTTTGGAGATAGATAAGTAACAAAACGATATATACTATTAACAGATCATACTGTATTTTAAAACTAGAAATAAGTCAGTTTAAAGCAGATATAGATTTATTAATGTTCTTAACAAAGCAATTACCTTCTCTTTGTTAATCCTTGCAAAGTTGATTGAGAAGAGAGAAAAGAGGACCAACTACCTGTTTTAGTAAAACTTCATGGGACTCTTAGGTGATGAAACCTCTCTTTTTCTTCTTCTCTCTTTCTTTTCACATACTATTAAAAGGGAGAAAAGTTAACTAAATGGTTTTGATGCAAAATAGCCATCATTACCAACTTCTGAGGCTCCCAAAGTGGGGAGGTTGTCTATAATGGCAGCCTTCTCCCCTGTGAATTCAGACATGGGCCTTCTTTTATTTATTTATTTTTACCAAGAATAAACCCCAGTCCTCTCAAATGAAGTTACTGTTAATAACTGAACAGCCACTTTCAAAGAGACAGTCTCTTTATGAGATTTACATGTTGAAATCAAATCATCAGTGGAAATAAACATAAATGTTGATTATTGCAAGAGTAAAATGCCGCAATTAATGATGGTGAATTGTTAATTTTATGCCAAAAATAATTATTAAACTCTTTCAAATAGTTTACTATGGGAAGGTTCTGATAGGTAATATAAATCTTCAGAAGAGGGTATTAGCTAAGTAACTTTAGGAAGAAAATTTATGCACCTTGACACTTCCTATTACAGAAATAGTATATATAGTTTTGGGGTTTTTTTGTTTTTTGTTTTTGCATATGACAGAAGACCAAAATAAAGGTGGTTTAAACATAACAGAAGATTATTTCTGTCTTATATAAGACTGAATATAAGCAGTGCAGGACTGGTATGATAATCCAGTGTTAGGCCCAGGCTCCTAATACCTTCCTGCTCTACCATCTTCAGTTATGATACAATATGGCTGCTCAAGCTCCAGCAATCTTATCTGAAATCAAGTCAGCAGGAAAAGGACAAGAACAAGAAAATTGTGTTTCCTGTTCTTTAAGATATGCCTCCTCTTACATGCCATTGACCAGGACTTAGGCACATGGCCCCTCCTGGCTACAAGAGAAGCTGAGTTTTTATTCTTGGAAGTCATGTGCTCTTGTAAAAACTGGGAATTCCACGAAGAAGGAAGAAAAGGAGGAGATCAGGTATTGAGGGGCAACCAGCAGCCTCTGTCACAAGCCTTAATAAGTATTCTTTAAAAGAATAATGAATGAAGCCAGGAGTGATGGTTCATACCTGTAATCCCAGCTACTCGCTAGGCAGGAGGATAGCAAGCTCAAGACAAGCTTCAGCAACTTAGTGAGATTCTGTCTCAAAATAAAAAATAAAAAGAGCTGGGTATGTAGCTCAGTAATAGAGTGCCCCTGAGCTCAATACACAGTACCACAAATAAAAAGTAATAAAGAATGAATAAGTAGATTCTGCTAGAAATCCAGCTTACTACAGCATGAGGAAAAGGTTGGATTTTGAAATCCTAATTTGCTACTTAATAAGAAAGTGACTTAATCTGAATCTCAAATGTCTAAGTAAAATTACAATGGTAAAGATAAAAATACCTACCAAATGTACACAAAATGTACATTAATGGACTATTTAGCACAACTTGGGACATGGTAAGAGATTAACAAATGTTAGTTTCTACCTCTCTGTCTTGCAAAGCTAAGGTCCAGACCCTGGGGTACAGTACTCTCTCCTACATTTTTGTTTCTCTGCCTCCTATTTATCTATCTGGAAGACCCCTGAAGAGGTCAGTAAGGAGTAACAAGTACTGACATTGGTAGATGAAGATTAAGACTAATCACAGGGAAGAGGAATTGCCTCTCCTAGTAAAAAAAATGAAATCTGTATAATAAGTGAGACAAGTAAGAATGATGAGCTGAGTGTGATGGTGTACTGAAGCAGGAGGATCACTTGAGCCCACAAGTTCAAGACCTGCCTGGACAACACAGGGAAACTCAGTCTCAAAAAACAAAACCACAACAACATAAAGAATGATGAAAAGAATAGCCGGCACATTATTTTACATTCCTTACCTTACAACGTGGTACTATTATCCCAATATTACTGATAAGGATACTGATTGAATAAGAAAGTTACCCATGTAACCAGCAAGTAACTGACTAGATCAGAGGTTGCACCTAGACTCTGTACTCCTGACCCCTTGTCCTGTCCACTGGACTGTGAACACCACAGGATAAGATAGAACAAGTTCCTGTTTGATTTGTCTGAGCTCTCAAATTTGCTATAGGTTCCCTTCTTGGCTGGTTTCTTCCTAGAATTGTGTCCTAAATAATCCGACAACAGGTGAGAATTCTTTTTACTATCTCTCAGTTTGGTCAACCTTGGCAGTCACAGAAGCTGCATCCAGGATGTCCTTCTGTTCCCTGTATCTGTGATAGAGGGGGCTGGTTACTGGTACTGGAGCCAATAGTCGCCCACCACTCACCTCCCCGTTGTCTGCTTGTGATGCTCTTTCCATGTTTCACATTGCACCTGGAAGATTTCTCTCCCTCTCTTAGTTAGAGGGACTTGGTGAGCCTTCAAGCACTTCACCCAGATACCACTTTCCCCTGCAAGGACTTGAAAGGAGGAGTATCATTCCCAGCCCTGCTCCAGGGAAAATGCAGGGAGACCAACAATCAAGGGATCCATAAACAAAGAAGAGACACATTTCTGTTTTTTGTTTTGTTTTGTTTTTAATAACTTTAACTGGAGACCTGACCTCTCTAAGTCAGGGAGCAGGACTGACTCTGTGGAGCCCCATCTGACTCCAAGCAGGCCCAGGGGAGAAAAGCACCACTGTGGTGGAGATAGGGAGCAGTCTCCCTGGTCTCCCATCTAGAGTGATTCAAAATATTGCAGCTGGCTAAGCCTTAATCGAGAATAAGTTATAGTTGCCTTTCTTTTTCTGATGCTAAATCTTCCTCCTCTTATGGAAATTCTATTAAAAAAAACTATTTGGGATCAAAACATAAGAGTGCAGATGCACTAAACATCTATAATCAGGAAGCTTCTGGAAACAGATACTGAGTTGACCACAAAACACTCAGGCCTGGGGAAGCAACCAACCATTACCCTGCTCTGTTCAATGACAGAGTTCTCCCAGACTCTGTTCCAAAAGGATCTTACTGTACAAAAGACCAAAGGCCCTCTGGTTGGTTTCTGTGGCCTGACTTCTTTGAGGCCCCTGACACAGAGCCAAACTGCAGTTTGCAGAGCTGTAAACAATAACAGCCATTATAGTAATCTTATATTTCTATTAGCAGTTCTTCCTAAGAACATTTGAAAACATCTCAGTAAATGTATTATCAGGTTTGTCCTCTCGCCAACCCCAAAAACAGGAAAAGGGGTAGACCTCTTCCCATTGTGTTAGAGGGAAGCAGGAGGCACTGTGAGGCCAGAGGACTTGCTCACAGTTCCACCATGCATCAGAGCAAGGAAACATCAAGGCCCTCCACCTCCTCCACCTGGACTTTGTTTCTTAGTCGATATTGTTAAAATACTGGATGACAAATGTTTGACTGCTTCTCTGCATTTTCTAATTTGTTTCTTTCCTCCTATATAGGCATTTTTGGTTTTGGGGTTCTGTTTCACTGATGTGGGATTTCCTCCCAGCCTCCTACCTCCCTTTTCCAGTCCAGAATAGATAGCACCTCAGTCCTGCAAGAGCCCTCCCTGCCCTCATGGCCCTTTCTGGCTCAAAGTTCTGTCCTAATGGGTGGAAGACACCACGTAGGCCGTGGCAATGTACTTCTTGCCATTTCCATAGGTAGTCTTGTCCCAGGGATAGGTCTGGATAGCCAAGGGATATCCACCCAGGCTTAACTGGCACCTGTGGGGAAAGATCATGAAATCAGAGGAGCTCACCACTCCACCCTGCCTCCTTCCCCCAGGCTGCAAGGATCCAGCCCCCCCAAAAAGGGGGGGGGCTCTGACCTTTATGACAGAGCTGCCACAGATTTCTGCAGCCACTGAATATCTGGACCTTATTTTCTGTCTTCGGAAAGAGGAGTTTTCCCTATCCTTCCCAGAGCAATATTTTAAAATCCCAGATTCTAGAACCTAAGTTCTCAGAATGAATATTTGTTTCATCTTTCAGAAGCATAGAACCCTGCCAGGTGGTGGCGCACACCTATAATTCCAGTGACTCGTGAGGTTGAGGCAAGAAGATTGCAAGTTGAGGCCAGTCTCAGCAACTTACAAGACCTTGTCTCAAAATAAAATGTAAAAAGAGGATGTGGTGGGTGGCTCAGTAGTAGAGCACTCCTTGATTCAAACCCAGTACTAAAAAAAAAAAAAAAAAAAAAAATTTAAAAACTTAAAAGAAAAATTTAAATAGTAGAACTCAAAGTCTCCAACTGATACAGAACAGGAAGGCCAGTTGTTACCAACTGTTCTGTTTCCCTCAAACAGCCTCAAGAACAAAAATAGAGGCTTAGAGTCCCCAAGACAACCTATTTCTAACTTCTTTGAATAGTAAGATCCTGCATAAAAATTCACTTGAGGGGAAAGAAGGGAGATGGTTCTACAGCTAAAATGAAGTTTGGCAGCCTCCAATCTAATCTAACCACTGCTCGAGGGATAAAATGGAGGCACAGCACAATGATCTATCCAAGCCCTCTCAGCCCCTGAGTGGCAGACTCCAGATCTCTGACTACAGCCGGAGGCCTGTGCCCCAGTACTGTGGCTGGCCCAGTACTTACACTTTGCCTGGCCGGGCAATGAAGCACAAGGAGTAGAGTGCAAACTCAAACTCAGGGCTGCTGCCAATGAAAGCTGAGCCCACTTCCTTATAGTAGCCATCCCAGTTAAACTGCATCGCTAACACGTCAGGGTAGGAATCCCACTGCAAAGAGAAGGGCAGGAAAGGGGGTTTGGTGAAGGCCACAGAGTAGCATTAGAGAGGTGCCAAATGCCAACAGTTGGCCAGTAGTTGTTGAAGGTCCATGAGGAGCCTTCAGGGAGACTGGCTTCCTTAAGTAGAAGTACCTGAGCCCCACTCAGATCCTCTGTTGACAGTGCCAAGGAAGTCAGAGTCAGCAGCCATAAGACCCAGACCAGAATGCCAGGGATGCAATTGTTCCTTATTGCCCCTGTACCTGGAAGAGGATGGTTCATTGCCCCCAAATTATTTGCTGGTGCAGGACAGCAAAGGTTTCTTTTTTTGTAAATTGTATGGCGTTTAGCTCAGACTATCCAGGTTCAAACTCTCAGCCACATTTGAAGGACATATGGGGGGGGGGGCAAGGCAGATAATTGTATGTCATTGGTTCTTCTCCCTCAATATCCTCCTCTGACCTCAACCTCCCACCCAGATATGGTGTCCTCTGCCCTCTGACCATGCAGTTCTGGAGCCTTCCCTGGAAGGGAATACCATCTCTTGGGTGGCTAAACTTGCTGTCCAGCAAAGGAGGACACCACGTTCACAATCCCCACTGGGCTGCAGATGAGTTAGGGGGAGGAACAAGTCTGACTGTTCCAAACACAAGGATAGAAAGTGTGACCACCAACAGGGCTTTTCCAGCACAGGTACTCACAGGTCCATCATAGTTATGGCTGTAATAGTCAACCAGGCCCTCCTTCTCCTGCAGGTAGAAGCGGATCCAGTTATGGAAGCCAGTGACCTTGCCCTTTTTGATTTCACCTATAAAACAGAGCACAAGGTAAGTGGTCTGGGCTTCTGGAACCATCCTGTCCCTTTAGTCTCTTTTCTCTCACCCCACACCAAGGCTGCCTCCTTCTCCGGGATCTGAATGTTCACCAGCTCAGTCCCTTACCTCACTCCCCAAAGTCCCTCATATCCCTGTCCTCTCCTCTTGGTTCAGCCAGAATGATTCTTCCCCCTCGCTGATACTAGAGACCACTCTGGAATATTCTTCTCAGCTGTTTCTCCAGGAGCAAGCCTGGCCTGGTGGGAGCCTTATGGGACAGGGCAGTGGGGAACAGACTGTGAACCTCGCAGGAAGCAGCTGACCAAGCTCTGGAAGCAAAGGACTGCTCAGAGGCTAACTACCTTGCCCTCAAACACTTGTTCATTCCAGATGTACCCCCTTGAGAGCTCCAGTATCTGGTCTTCTCTCCCTCTTAGGTACTCGAGAGAGACTATCCCTCAAAATGGCTTCTCAGACTCGTCCCTCTTGGCCTGATAGTAGACATGTCCCTCCCTGCCAGCCAACTTGGCTATCTATTCTTCAGGGTCAGGGCTGCCCTGCTCCTGAGTGAAGTCATTCCTTTTCACCCCTTCCACTCTTCCTTTCTAAGCAGGGTGCCCCACCTGAGAAGACATGTTCAAAGCCACTGGAGTCCGCCTCTTCATTGCCTCTTGAATAGAGCCCAAACCACATATTCTTCAAGTCGTCAACGAATTCTTGTTCTGAGCCATAGCGGTCTGCAGAGAGGAATACAGAGGATGTTGGAGAGGGGAAGAGAGGTCGGGTCCTGGGAAACAGAAAAGGGCCACCTGCTTCAGGACATCAAGAGAGACATGGGGGCGCTGGGGTTGTGGCTTGGCAGTAGAGTGCTTGCCTAGCATGTGTGAAGCACTGGGTTCAATCCTCAGCACCACATAAAAATAAATAAAATAAAGGTATTGTGTCCATCTAGTCCATCTACAACTAAAAATTTTTTTTTAAAAAAAGAGGAGAGACATGGGTTCAATCAATCAACAAATGTGTTCGACTGCCCATTTAGCAATGATAAGCAGGACACCCACTGTGTGCTAGGCCCAGACCTAAAGGCTGAGGTTTCAGCAGAGAAAAATGAGGACAGGGTCTCTATCTTTAGAGTTTACATTACAGAGAGGGAGATAAATAAACAAACATGGAAACACTAAAGAAATCATGTGCCCTGTAAGGCGTGAGCGTGGCGAGGAGAGGGCTGCGGCCGAGAGATCTCCGGTTTTTCATCGTGTAGACACCTCTGCTGTAAAGATGGTCAATGTACCTAAAACTCGAAGGACTTTCTGTAAAAAGTGGAGCAAGCATCAGCCTCACAAAGTGACCCAGTATAAGAAGGGCAAGGATTCTTTTATGCCCAAGGAAAGAGGCGCTATGATCGGAAGCAGAGTGGCTATGGTGGGCAGACAAAGCCAATTTTCCACAAGAAGGCTAAAACCACGAAGAAGATTGTGCTAAGACTTGAATGCGTTGAACCAAACTGCAGATCCAAGAGGATGCTGGCCATCAAGAGATGCAAGCATTTCGAACTGGGAGGAGACAAGAAGAGAAAGGGCCAAGTGATCCAGTTTTAAACTTTTTGATTTTTTTTCCCATTTAATTTTGATGCAAAAATACTGAAAGTAGAAAAATTACCTATAGGGAAATAAATGACAATTATATAATCATACCTAAAAAAAAAAAAGAAATCATGTGATTTCAGGCAAGTGCTAAGAAGACACTAAAGTAGCCTATGATGACTAGCTAGATGGAGTGCTGTTTTGAAGTGTCCCCCCCCAAAAAAAAAATATGTTAGGAATACCCACTGTGACATGATTAAGAGGTAGGATCTTAAAATTCTGCTCCATTTGTATACAATGAATTGAAGAGCTTTCTACTGTCACGTAAAACTGATTAGAACTAATAAATTTAAAATAAAAAAGAGGTGGGATCTTTAAGAGGTGATTATGCCAGGAGGGTTCTATCCTCATGAATGGATTAATGTCATTTTCACAGAAGGGGTTTTCTTATCGAATGGATGGTTTCCTTAAAAAAAAAAAAAAACAACAAGTTTGGCCTTCTTTTGCCTTTTTCTCACTTTCTTTGTCTCTGCCTTCTGCCATGGGGTGACGCAGCAAGAAGGCCATCATTAAATACAGTCCTGGGATCTTGGACTTCCCAGCCTCCAGAACCACAAGTCAATAAATTTCTGTTCATTTTAAATTGCCCAGTCTGTGGTATTCTGTTCTAGCAGCATAAAACATACTAAGACAGAGGACTTCTGAAAAGGAAGACCAGAAAAACCTTTTTGAGAAAGTAGCACTAATCAAGAGACCTGAAGGTTAAGGAGTTCACCACACAAACATCTGGGAAAAAGAAAAGGGAACTGTAAGTGCCAAGGCTCCAGGTGGAGAGAGTTTATGTTCAAAGAACTGAAAGAAGTTCACTGTGGCTGGAGCAAAGTAATCAGGAGGAGAGGGGGCCTGAGAGGTAGGCAGGGACCAGATCCTGTAAGTCATGGCGAGAAGGCCAGATCCCAATCAAATAGTAATAATAACAAAAATATCTTAGATTGATTGAGGATTTTATGTGTGCCCAGCACCATTTTAAAGGGCTTCGTATAATAATATTGAATCCTCAAGCCAGGTGCATTGGTGCATGCCTGTAATCCCAGTGGCTCAGGTGGCTGAGGCAGGAGAATCATGAGTTCAAAGCCAGCCTCAGCAACTTAGCAAGGCCTTAAGTAATTCACTGAGGCCCTGTCTCTAAATAAAATATTACAAAAGGCTGGGGATGTGGCTCAATGGTTAAATACCCCTGGGTTCAATCCCTGGTACCAAAATAATAATAATAATTATTATTATTATTATTATTCCTCACATTGAATCTTCACAATAGTACTAGCCTCATGTTAATAAGAAAGGTACTAATTATTTCCAATTTAGAGAAGTGTAAACTGAAGCAGACATAGGTTATGAAACCAAGGCCAGATGGCATAACTCATAAGAGGTAGACACAGCACTCAAACCTACACAGCCTAGCTCCACAGACCTATCTCTAAACAACTCTACAGCTTTGGGCAGTAGAGAGACACTGAGGTGTTATGGTTTGAAGATGAGATGTACCCCAAAAGCTCCTGTGTTAATGCAGGAATATTCAGCAGTGAACTGATTAGATGAGGATATCTGGAACCTAATTGGCCCATTCTAGTTTGAGTAGATTGACTGGGTGGTAGCTCTAAGCATGTGGGATATGGCTGAAGGAGGTGGGTCACTGAGGTCATACCCTGGAAGGGTGCATCTTCTCTGTGGCCCCTTTCCCTCATCCCTTTCTCTCTGCTCTCTAGCTGCCAGCAGTGGAGCAGTGCTCCTCCGCCTCTCCCTTCCACCATGGTCTTCTGGACATAGAGCAATGGACTTACCCACCGAGGACTGAATCTCTAAAACCATGAGCCAAAATGAAGTTTTCCTCCTCTGAGTTGTTCTTGTCGGGTATTTTGGTCAGAGCAACACAAAGCTGACTAACACAGAAGGAATTCGGGCAGAGAAATTATGTGATAAGAGCTTTGCTTTTAAAAGATCATTCTGATTGCCTAAGTAGAAAGGTCAATGCAGTTTTAAGAGTGGAAGTAGAGAGGCCAATTTTGAAGCTAATGCTCTCCAGATGAGCAGTTGGAGATGGTGTACACTAAGTGGTAGTTGAGGAGAAGGTGTTATGGCTTAGATTTGCAGTGTTCCCCAAAAGTTCATGTGTGAGACAATGCAAGAAAGTTTAGAGGTAAAATGATTGGGTTATAAGAGCCTTCACCTAATCAGTGCGTTAATCAGCTTGAATGGATTAACTAGGTGGATAGTGGCTCTAGGGTGTGACTGAAGGAGGTGGGTCACTGGGGGTGTGATTTGAGGGTTTACATTTAGTGAGTGAGAGCTCTCTCTGATTCCTGATTGTCCTGTTCTGAGATGCTCTCATCCTCCACACCTTTCTGCCATGATGTGCAGCAGCAATGGCGCCAGCCATCTATGGACTGAGACCTCTGAAACTGTGAACCCCAAATAAACTCTTCCTCCCCTACATTGTTCTTGTCAGATGTTTTGTTCATAGCAGTGAAACTGCTGACTAAAACAGAAGGGATAAGAAGCAGATCTGGGATATATTTTGAAGGTGGAATTTATGGATGTTACTGATGGAGGAGATGACAGTGGAGAGCGGTGAGGGGGAAAGAATCCAATCTAACTCCTGGGTTTGGGCCTGAACAGCTAGATGGATCCTGTTGTCATTTATGAGATGGGAAAGACCCAAGGTGAAGCAGGTCAAGAGGAAGAGTGAGAACTGTGAGTTCTCTTTACGCTACATTTTGTGTAGATACCAGATAAATAGCCAAGTGAAGATGTTGAAATGGCCATTGGGAAAAAAAGGGAAAGGTGAGACCTGGAGATTTAAATCAGAGAGTCATCAAATACTGTTTATGGCCCAGAATTGTGTGTAGAGGATCCAAAAAGAGACACCAGGAATATTCTCTCCTTTCAAGGACTTAAATGCAGTTGAAAAATAAGATTGAATACATTAAAAAATAATAATAACAGAGCAGTTTCACAAGCTGAATGGTTGCCCTTACTAGCACTTACTTGGGGCCAAATTTTCCACTGGTGCTTTACAAATATTAATCCTCAGAGACATCATTTCACAGATGAGACTCAGCAAGGTAAATAACTTGCTCAGGAGTCTTAGTTCATTTTTGATTGCTCTAACTAAACACCTGAGACTCCGTAGTTTATAAAGAGTAGAGATTTAGTTTGCTCATAGTTCCGGAGTCTAGGAAGTCCAACATCTAGGTGCTTGCATCTGGTGAATATCTTCTTGTTGAATCATAATATGGTAGAAGGCATCACAGGGCAAGACAGAGCAAGTACACCAGAGAGAACTCACTTTTATAACAGAGCTACTCCTTGGACAATCCATTAATCCATTAACTGATTATTCATGAGGGCAATCCCCCAAGACCCAGTTGCTAAGCACAGCTCTCATATCCAATTACCATTAATATATAATATTAGGATTAAGTTTCCAGCATATGAAATTTGGAGGACATGTTAAAACTGTAGCACGAGAGTCATACCACTGGTCAGTATCAGATCCAGGAGAAAACCAAGTCTCTCTGGCCCTAGGTTATTCTGGGTCATAGCCTAATCTCTCAGTCTCCAAAGGGATGCTGAAAGCCAGCAAAACTGAAGCAATTGAAATCTTCATAGAGGTGGTGAGATCTGGCAAGAACCTAAAGAATAAAGAATAAAGGCTGGGCATGGTGGTGCAAACCTATAATTCCAGCAGCTTGGGAGTCTCAGGGAGGAGGATCGCAAGTTCGAGGCCAACCTCAGCAACTTAGACCCTAGGCAAATTAGCAAGAATCATCTTTAAAAATAAATAAATAAAAATAAAAAGGAGTAGAGATATGGCTCATTGGTTGAGCACCCCTG